GGGTTGGAACCCATGATCTTTATTCCCCCTTGATTCATATGTCCTGAGCCTGAGCCTCAGTATCCCCAGCAGATCTATTCAAGGGTCATGAAGAGGCGCCTCGGTGGCTCAGTCAGTTAAGCGTCTGCCTCCCGCTCAGGTCGTGATCCCAGGCTCCATGGGGAGCCTGCCTCTCCCTCTCCCTTTGCTGCTCCCCCCTACTTGTGCTCTCTCTCTCAAATAAATGAATAAAACCTAAAAAAAAAAAGTCATGAAGCTACTGGAACTCTGAAGTCTCCATAGGAGTTTCAGAAGCGCCTGCTAGGAGAGCATACAGATTAAACGAAAACATAGTCCAGTTTGCACTGTAAATAGAATAAATTGAGTAAAATTCAAATGCAGATTACAGAAGAGATGTTGCCAATGAGTCCCTGGCCTTTCTAAGCATAACTGGCGTGTGGTAAGTCCTTACTGAGACACTGTGGACAGCTCCGGGCCACTCGCACCCCTAGGCTGTCTCCACTTCTGCTGCAGGCCACATAAGCGTGCAAGTATTAGACGCCCCCGGGGCCCCCTTCCACCATGAGTTGAAGCCGTTGTACAGATGACGGCATCTCCTCTGTGTCCACTCTGGCCTGATGCTCATTGATGCCTTTGCTCCAGGCTGCCTTACCTGGGGTTTTTTCCTGCCTTAAAAAAAAAAAAAAAAAAAAAAAAAAAAATATATATATATATATATATATATATATATATATGATTTAAACAGACAGACAACACTCTTCCCTCCTCCAGATCCCAACAAACTGATAAAATATACATTCAGATCAAGTACCCATTATTTCTTACGAATTACTAAGCAGGTGTGTTATTCTTTGAGGCCCTCTGAGTTCCTAGAGAAACAATTTTCTTTATATTTTATGTAAAGAATGCACGTGTGTTTGTGAGCACAGAAACCCTCAGGTGGCAGAAAGGGAACAAGCAGTGCAAAGTGTCCAGACCCTGGTGAGCTTCTTAATTCCTCAGGAGGGGGAGGGCATGGATGAGGCACCGTCCTGTTGTTCCTCCAGCTGTGACGGGACTCTGGTCGGGCCTCTGGATCTGGCTGTCACTCTCCACTGCACCTGTCTTCCCTCCAGCTCTTGACCCATCTGACTTTCAGGATGCGGCAGGCAAGATTTCCTTTGGTGGCCAGGGTGACGTCGCCTGCCTTGTCCTGGGGCACCCACGTTTCTGGAATGGGGAGGAGTCGTATGATTTTGTTGGAATAAGCAAATCTCCATGTCTCAAGATCCAGTATATTCCCTTCTGTATGGAATGGAAATGTGTCCTTCAGTCTGGGGGATTGCCCACATACCATGGGAAGAGGGCATAAAGAGATGTCATGAAGTGTCACCCCAGAGTATTCTTCAAACTGCCAGGGAAATATGGATTTTTTTTCCCAGCTAGTCAATATTCTCTGAAAATATGGGTAGAAAATATTATTCTCTATTCAAACAGACAGGAATATACAGTAGAATAGAAACAAAAATGTGAAAAGTCTTTTCATGAGCAAATTTGTTGCTTTTAAAATATAGAATTCCCCACACCCCCAGGGGATGCATTCACCTCATTTGTCTTCAGGGGTTGATTTGGAGGGAAAGTGTACGAAGCGTTTAAATAGAGTCTCTGTGTCGTGGTGTGAACAGTCTATTCTAGCAAGTGTTTAATTGAAGCCACAAAGTTGATTTCTGTTTTGTTTTCACCAAAGGGCATAATTCAAATAGACGTTGAGAAAATGCTTAATCATTTCTCTCTTTTGTTCTCATGCTCATTGTTGCCATAATCACACAGCACTTAGAAAGCCCTCCTCTGTACAGTTCTGATTGAGGTGTGTTATTTTTGTGATAAGCATTAAATGGCATCATTTGTGAATTGTCTATAAAGAAATGGGTGATGTAAAAATGTCGTAATTTAATTTCCAGTTAGACTAGAAATTGTTCATAGAGGTGAAGAAGAAAACAGTGTTGACCATGATGGAGAATAATATTCAAAACCGAGCCCAGCAAGGAGCAGCTCGCTGACCTGGAAGAGAAAGCTAGACATTGAGCGAGAACACCAGAAAGAATATGGACCCATGGGGCACGGACAGGAGGGGCAAAGCCAGCATCTGCTGGGTCCCTCGAGTCCCGGGCGTGTTCCCGTGTGGTGTGTCCCCCAGTCCTCCAGGCACAGGGAGCAGAGGGAAGTTGTGGTTCTTGGAATGATGTGCGCAGCTCTGCAACATGGCTCTTCTGAGCTCTATTGGGATCCTGCACTGATTCTGGAAAGCTCTGACTGCATGCACACTCCTTTTTTTTTTTCAAAGATTTTATTTGTTTATTCATGAGAGAGACACACAGAGAGTCAGAGCCATAGGCAGAGGGAGAAGCAGGCTCCCTGCAGGGAGCCTGATGTGGGACTCGATCCCAGGACGCCGGGATCACGTCCTGAGCTGAAGGCAGACGCTCAACGCTCAACCGCTGAGCCACCCAGAGGCCCCTGCATGCACCTTCTTTCCTCCTCCTCGTTGTCTATCCTTGTCTGACCCTCATTCCCAAAGCAGCCTGTGGATGGCTTGTGAAGTCAGGGACTGTACTTTCCATTCATGTGTCTCCCCTGTGGTCTTTTGAACTGTTTCAGCAGGTGTTTGACGAATAGTAGTTGCATGATTCAATTTCCACACTCAAGATTCTAGGGTAAAAATCTGTGTGTGCCAGACTGTCCCAAATCCACAACTTCAGCCTTCACTTTTAGCCCACAAGTAATGTGAACTAAAGGTGTTTGCCAGTGCTGGGAAACAGATATTTCTACTTTGTTCTTTAAATAAGATAAAGGCAAGACCAGGAACAACTCTCTTAATATTAGAATTTCCAGCTGGTTTATGCTGATAAATGCCAGTATCTCCACTTGTGAGAACTTTGAATGATCATCTAGTGAGTCAATGGCACAATAAGGAGGTGAGGTTGTTAAATGTTTTAAGTGATTTTTTTTCCATATCAGATTACTCTCCCATAATTTTGTCACATAAATAACATTTAAAAAAAAAAATAACATGTCAAAATGCCACTTTCTGCAGGAGTCCCTCTCTGACCATCCCATATAGGTGACCCTGCTGGAGTCAGTGGTGACAGGTTATCTTTTCACTGGGGTGACCGCACTTATCATGCTTGAATTCAATGACAACACATTGATTTCATAATCAGATTAGTCATACAGCACCATTAATGTCAACTTTCCAGAATTTGCAGATAAGGAAACTGAGAACCCAAGAGACAAAGTGAGTCTCACAAGGTTGGTGACCCATATAAGTAGTAGAAGGAGCGTGCATAGCCGGTCTTCTCACTCTGAACTCACCCCAGGTCCCCCTAACTTCTCCCTTTTTCTGCCTCTTCCCAGAAAGAGAAGACACGACCACATGGGATTTTGAGACAATCTAAAGGACTATTGACAGTGCTAGGAGGGAAGTTATAGAACCAACAAGGAATTGTGAAGGATGGGCAAACAGCATGCAGCATTACCCACCTCCGTGTAAAGGGGCAAAGAGAGGAAATGTGGATGGGGGCCCTGGGAGAGGCAGGGAAGGGGGCAGGAAGGTTCCGAGGCTCAGAAAGCAGCTGTGCTGGCACAACCACAACAGCAGCTGCTGGAGGGCCAGGTAGAGAGCACGTGCCCACATCCCCCAACTCCCCTGATTTGCTCCTGGGGAGATTTAATCTACAAGAGAATTAGGCCAACAGTGAATCTAAAGTGATTTTTATATAGAAAGCAAGATTTCACTCTCACGATTTTTAAACATTGAGAGCCTCTACCAGTTTAATTAGCCTTTTATTACCCAAGTCATTTGCCTTTCTCCCTGGACCCCAAGCTTCAGAAATTGCAAGGATGTTTTACACACCTGCTGATGAGTGGCTTTAGGTGCGTGACCTCAGGAAGGACAGCGCCACCTGCGAAACAGGATGACATGTTCCACATTTCTGTGATAGCCGACTGTCTCGACTGGGTTCCTCCTGGTAGAGAATAGAAACATTACAAATCAGACTGGATGCATCTTTTCTTTTGGATGAAACATAAACTCTGGAGAGGCCACGCACATTGAGTCTAGCTTTCTTTGCTCACTAAGCTCATCCCTTCCATAAATAACATTCTCCAGATTGAAGAATAATTAATTTTCAGTTAAGAAAAAGAATGGGAAGGCCCCTGGAAAGTCCATCTGAAACCATACAATGACAGTCTCACCCTCTGTTGTCAGCATTCTGACAAGCTTTCCCATGGTCACTTCTGTTTGGGTTTGCATTAGACAAATTTCGCGTTTCGGGGATGCATCTGAACCATCAAAAGCATAGATGGAATTTTTCCTTAAATATATTTTCTAGAAGATTCGACTTTTCAGCCACTCGAGTAACCATAAAAGTTTATTGTTTAGGCTCATCATATCATGGAGTCAGTTCAGTTACTCACAAACCTGACAGGATAAATCAGGGCCTTGAAGGCTACACTGGTGAAAGCTTTTCCTGCTAATTGATGGTTACTGGTGGGGATACAGTGTAATTTGCCTGCTCAGGAAAGGTTTTAAGAAAATGCCTAATATGCTCTTGTATGCTGAAAGCGAGTATAAAAGAAAAGAATACAACTTACGGGCCCTCCATCAAAACCAGCTTTTTTTTTTTTTTTTTTTTCAGAAAAACTTTTCTGCTTTTGTTCCGATAGCTGAAGGACATACTAGAAGTTTGAGATCTCTCAAAAGTTTACCTTGCACTCTGGCATCTGAATTTTTGACCAGACACGCTTGAGGAAAATATTGATCCCTGAATACATTTTTAACTCAGAAAGGAATAAAGCACCAAATTTCTCCATTTTTCACACCTCTGTGCTTACCTGGAGCTCTCTTTTGAGCATTTGCAGCCTTCTGCTTTGTTTGTATGGTTGTCTGTTTGTTTATATATATCCCCTTGCTTTTCTGAGTCTATTTCTTAGCACACCTCTTCCTCCTTCCCTCCTCTCAGGTCACGGGTTTGGTTCCTCGAAGATGTCACGTGCACAGACATTTCCCAGCTACGCCTCGGAGCAGAGTGAGGAGGCCCAGCAGGCTCTGTCCCGGTCGAGCAGTTACGGATTCAGCTACAGCTCCAGCCTCATTCAATGACACTCAGAGAGCCGCTGCTGACCAGAGACACAGTCTGTCCGGACCTGCTTGTAGGGTCACTGCACCCTCTGCCTCCTGGAAGACCAATTGCAGTAAAAATTGAAATGGGTCGGGTGTAGCCCCAGTCCCAGTAGAAGGTTAAAACCTGGAGTTCTGCTTCCTTGACTCTGTGGCTAAGTCCTTTATTTATTGAATTTCTTGGGGGGAGGGGAATCTATGTTTTACAAAAATAGAATCCAAATCGTATGAACAGTCATTTAAATAAAATTCTTTGGTACGGACAGTAGCAGAAGTCTGGGCACCATGAGAAGTTGCCCACACTGGGTTGGACCTGGGCGCGGGACATTAACTCTGTCCTCATGGCTCGGCCCTCCCGCCTGGTGAAAGGGTCTGTCCTTGGACATAAGGTCACCCACCACAAGCTCTGTGGCTTGGAAGGTTTTAACAGGGACAAATCCAGTAAGATCTACAAATGGCATTATAAGTCTCCATAGAAATAAGCCCAGTGACAATTAAGGGAACACAAGAATTAGAACACACTGTTGAGCAGGCCCTGTAGCTCCACTGTGTGTGTGTGCGTGTGTGTGCACCTGTAGACAAATACAGATTCGGATATTGCTATATCCATCTATATCTAACACGTATATATCAACTGTGTGCTGAGGGTGACAGGATATGCTCACTTACATTGTTGAAAACTGTAATTTGGTGCATTAAAATTAAGATTGTTATGTTGAATAGCTACTTTTAAAATAGTGCTGTAAAAAAAAAGGCTTTTTATTAGCAAAAGTATTTACGTAGTCAAGTCTGCTCCTCTGACAAGTATAAACGAATATTTGAGAAGGAAGTTCACTTGAAAATGAAAACAAAAGACCTGGTCTAGCTGTCCCACGTGTCCTGTCGCCACCCTGTCTTTTGGGTTAGTACTTCCTTGTTGGCAATGTCTGTCTCTTTGGCCATCCCTCTGAGCTCCATGAGGAAAATCGGGTGTGATCACCCACCAGCTTCCATTTAACCTCAAGAAATAGAAAACTTTAAATGAGAAACTGTTTTTCAAGAAAGAAATTTAAATATATATATATATATATATATATATATATATATATATATGTACCGAAAAAGAACTCAGCTATTTTGCAGTCAGAAGAACAATGGGCACAGAATTGTAGATATTAATTATTTAAAGTTTTATAGATGCTGTTCTCAACGAGCCATTGGGCACTTTGATTTCCTGTGTAACCAGAATTTGCTAGGCTTTACTTCCTCTTTAATGAACATTGGCTGGGATTATAAGTGAAAACGGATCAGATATAATTTTTTTCATCTCTGACAGTAGTTGACAAACCTACCAAGTTTAAAAGGAAGCGGTGGCTTCCGTGTGAACTAAAAAATTTGGCCGATTTATTTAGTGTCAACAGATATTTTTGTCCTTAATTTTGAAGTTTACTCAAGTAAAAATAAAAATCATTCTGCCTGGATTATCTGATGCCACACACCTAAAATGGTCAGCTTGTAAATACTCCACGGGGAATCCAAAGAATAGTGAGCCCAGATCATGTAAGATAAAAGCCTGATTTTTTTTTTCTTAATAGCAAAATTCTTTAAACTATTAATGTTAGTCTGTGGAAGGAGTACTTGTTTTGTTGATCTCTAATAAGACTCTTCTTTTTTAATCTCTATCCATAGCTTGAATGCAGATTGCAAACTTATTTCAGAGAATAACTACTGCATAGAAACGGTTCTGGGTCTCTCCTAGATGAATTTACACTTTAGAGCAACTACCTAGACTCTCTGAATCTCTCAGATTAAGAATGAAAACCCCATCAAGATGCTAATCATAAGAGTCAATGTGGCTGTGAAAAATAATTATCTTAAGCTTTCAGGGATAAAAAGAAAATTACTCAAACTCTCTGCACTGTGAATTTTGCTGACATAGCAGAAAAGCAGACGACTGGTTCCTGACGAGGACACAGCCTCCCCTAAAATCCCAGCTTTCAGGGTTACACACCTCTGAATCACTCAGCACATGGCATTTGTTTCTGAAATGCCTTTTGTAAAACCCACCAGAGCAACTCCCCGCTGAGACCATTTGAGCACAGCTCCTAGTGGTGCCACGTTCCGAGCCAGGCTCTGGCCCGCTCACTCAGTCGAGCTGTTGCTTAGAGACCACAGTTTCTACATGGGACTTGTGGGGAAAGGCCCTCAGGGGTCCTGGTTCATGTCTCAGCTGCACTAATGTGCGAGAAACACAGACAGCAAGTCCAGGGGCGATTCTGCTAATTAGATGAGTCTGCTCTTGTGTCTATTTGGTGGAAGACACAATACCTGCATGCAGTTGCTTCCAGAACACCATTTGCTTGTGATCATTACCAGTGAGCATTTACTGAGGAGATACCAAAGATCAGGCTAGCCTTGGGCCGGTTCACTCCGAAAATAATGTCATTAAGAGTGTGTGAGAGAAATGTCCCTCCCAAGTCTTTTAACCCAATCTCATTACAATGAGAATAATGCTTTAACGTCTCTCGTGGTACATTTTTGGAGATCTATTCTAGCATACTTTTCCATCTATACTTATAATTGTAGCTGAGTTAAAAATTGCTAACCGAACATATAGGAGAATTTATATTAGCCTAATATACTTGACATAAGGCAGTGTGCATTGTAATAAAAATGACAAGCAAATAAATCTTCTACAGAAACCAAAGATGAAAGAAAAGTTTCCATACCATTCTCCTGGAACTTCATAAAACCAATTCACTGGAGCAATTAGAATGGTCGTAGGCACGTATTCAACTCCCTTGAGCTCACGGGTTTTTGACTGAAGATGCCTCTACACTTTGCAAGTCATTTTTCTCCCTCAGACGCTTTATTATAGCTTTCCTGCAGTTAGGGTTGCTGTGAACCAAAGACAACCTTTGGCTCCTTCTGAAAGTGACTCAGTTGGGATCCCAACCAGATTTAGGCAAGTGAGGGAAGATGGTCACAGTTTCCATATTGGGGTATCCGGTTGGAAGACACAGTGGTGAAGAACTTGACATAAGTAATGGAGGCACTTCTGAGAGCAGAGGAAAACTGGAGGGTGTACACAGTTCTCACAAAGATGACACGGGCGGGGGTGTTATTTCTTATGTCCCCAAGTTTTCTTCTGGAAATATTCATCATTGCACTCATGACCAATCCCTGACACATTTAAAGTATGGAAAAGTATAAAATAACCTCAACCCAATCGTTTACCATACTGGTGGGAGAAAAATAAAACACATCTTTCACTTACTCGTTGACTGAATAATAGGCACTTGGAACTAATTTATTTACACAAGTTGCAGATACGTATGAATCAATGGGTTCTGGCCGCTGCCACAATATGAACTTCATGAAATAAGAAATGTTTATAGACTAGGGAAGATGCTGTTGGATGGAGCATGTGAAATAAAATGAAACCTATTTATTAAAAGTAAACCTCACTTTTTTTCACCAAGTAGTAACTCGAGTACTAGTCCTAGTATCTTGTACAATTTTTCTCTGTCTTCACTGGGCAATTATGTTTGAAAATCATTTATCACCTATAAAATGGTCAGCCACTAATACTTTCTGTCCAGTATAGAAACAATGGACTGATAAATAACATTACACTGTTAATGGTTTTTACGGATCCAATTTATTTATTGCATGCGGTGTCTTTAGAGTAGATATTAAAAAACACATCATAAAAATTGATGTCTGCCCCTCATTCTTTGGTCAGTATCTCAGAAAACTTTGTAAAAAAAAAAAAAAAAACCACGATTACCCTACTCCCTAGATTATTTGAGCCACTTCCTCAAATCAACCATTAATGCTACAGTGAAAACAAGCTTAAGCAAATTATAAGTCTTATAAAAAAATCATAGTCCAGTTCTGATGATTATAACACAGCACAATAAATAGGCAATGTACATTCAGTGGGGCTGAGCTTTAGGCCTTTAACACATTGTGTCTTAAATATTATACTAAAAACTGCTTACAGTGAAAATGATACACTTTTCTCCAATTCTACCAACATATGTTGATTAGTATCTTGCAATTTCAAATTACTTTCTCAGTCATTAACTATACTTCACAATTCCCCAATCTTGGCCTTCTCCAAATAAGAAATGGCCACTATATTTCTATTAATAATCATAACACTAGGTGATGTGCCACACAGATGAATTTCTAGCCTATGAAATGTATGGAGGACAATTTTCCATATGGAAGGGGCAGAGAAGAAGAATGGGAACTAACTCAGGAGGGCAGCAACTTAGATAAGGTTATAAAGATTCCAATGAAATGTCCAAAGTTGCACTAAGACTCTACTTTGTTAACATTCCAATCCCAGTTCCCTATCACAGATTTGACCTTCTTGACCAACTTCACTGAGTACCAAGCATGCAACTGAAAGAAGACAGCACTTGCATCACTTTTTGAAGTGACCACAGAAAGACAGCACATAACCAATAAGTATACCTCCTTGGGTTTAGTGAAAAGTATTGAACATGATCTTTCATGTAATAAATATGTAATAAAATCCCCCTGGTAAAATGTCTCTTCTTATCGTTTTTGTACATGTCAACTTCATTTGAGTTTCAAAATGAAGGTATATCATCCATGACCCTTGGCTGGAGGCTAGAAGTATGTCAGAAGAGACCAATAGCCTCATGCGTACATTCTCTATGAACATATTTGCAAAATTTTTCCGCCTTTTTCCTCCCTGAAACTACCCCAAATCCTTACTTTTTTACTCAAGAATGTGAATCTTTGTTGTATCATTTCTACAATTATTACAACTCGGGGCGGTAGCTAGTTTACAGACTCTAGTGGAAGTATCATGAGATGTTGGGCATATTTTCTGGATGGGCAGGATGCTAGCTAGCTCTGGAAGCAATCATGTAGAATAAAGGTACCACTTTACATCCTACTCAGGAGGAAACCCAAACCCATGGTGTTGTCATTTGTTGAAAAGGCAAAGAAACAGAGATAGTTTTGTCTATCTTTTCCCCCATTTAGATGCAGTGGGAGTTGAGAAATGCCACAGAGATTCTAAATAAATAGGCCCTGGAATAACATTTAAGTGTCTCCTCAGATTTTTTGGATGGTCCTAACCCTTCCTGGACTCATCACTAACTGTGTCTAGAGAGGCTTTATAAGGCAATTCTTTAGACTTGTAGGTCATGAATGATAGGGATAAATTTTATTACTCTTACACAGACACCCAGTTTTCATTGAAATTCAAACTTCTTTATTCTAAGGTGATAGTCAAACTAAAAAAAAATTAAATGTATTCCTACTTATTCATCATACTGTAATTGTGGTTATTATTTTTGGGACTTTTATCACTATGTAACACTTTGGCATAATTATTTAAGGCATTTGTCACAATGTAATTAGATAATAACATCGGGGTTACATTTTGTTTCATGTGAACTTCAAAAATCTGTTTTCAGTTGAAATTGGAAAATGTCTTTTTTTATAATAAAATAGCTTCCATATCAAGTGTTTTTAATACACTTTAGTAGGCAATTATTTAAATTAACTCAAGTCTTGATAGGAAATAAGTTAAAATTACCAAGTAATACGAAAACTATATTTTACTCATGATTTTCATACACTTTTCCCTAGTTTAAGATTTTTATACCTTGTAAACATTTCAAGGAGAGAAAGAATACATTTGTAATAGAAATTTTACAATTTCCTTCTAATAATTCTGTTTAATAGGTTTTTATTTTATTTTACCTCATCTTCTCCTACCCTATATTCCATATTCCAATTTTAAGAAGAATGAACAAATTTAAATTTTTTAATAGTTATTTGGAGCCATTTTTAATTGTTGATTCAATTAACTTTCTCCATCTGTTCTCTACTTTTAAGTTGATGTTAGACTTAGAGCAGAAAATCAGCCCTTTTTGTAGATACGGAATTGTGCGTTGAGTAGAGCAAGGATCGACCCTGACCCTGCAGTGGTGTTCATACTGGAATCTGGTTGTTACCTTAATTCACCCAAGTGATCCACAGCCTCATAAGCTTATTTTTGGAAATCTGAA